TCTTGTGAGCAACCTTAGATCCCTAAATTCAAAAGGCCAAAATCTATCTTGTGATTCGTATCCAGCATCACACATTGAAGAAGAAAAACTTGTTTGATTCTATTAAACTCACTTGAAGAGTGCATACCGAGATTCTTGGGTGANTTTATGGCAGTTAAAGAGCCGCGAGCAGAACTACCCCATACACGACATGGAATTGGTAACTGTTGTCTTTGTCTTGAAGGCATAGCACCATTATTTGTATAAAGAGTAGTTTGAGGTAGTTTTAGATCACAAGAGTCTGAAATACATCTTCACATAGTGTGACCTCAACATGAGGCAGTGTATGTGGATGGAGTACCTAGAGGATTATGACTTCACTTTGTATTACCATCCTAGTAAAGCAAATGTGGTGGCTAATACACTCAGTTAGAAGTCACAGGGAGTCTTGTCTAGTATAACTTCTCGAGAGTGACAGATGCTCAAGACTGTGGGATAGTTCAGGCTACGCTACAGGGATTAGACTTAGGCCACTTTGAAAAGTCTAGTGGCTATGCCTTCCTTATCGAGCAGGATGATCGAGTCCTAGGAGCAGAATACGAAGAAAAAAAATAAAAATAAAAGGAGCAGAATACGAAGATATTGTTCATTAGGGATCAGGTACAATCGGGTATGGTTGACAAGGGCTAGGCCATTCACACTGGTGGTAGTCTTCAATTCAAGGGAAGGGTTATAGTTTCCCAGTCTATGGATCTAAGAGAGGTGATCCTTGGGGATTTTCATTGCTCCCATTTTGCTTTGAAGTGACCTTGTGATGAATCTATTGACAAAAGTTCTAAATGTATGATTCTTGGTTTGCTTTATGTTTAGGAGGTAATTGAGTGGCCTCTTGAGTTCTCTGCCCCCCAATAAAGTGTGAAATGAAGGATGTACTAAGTTTTTCGAAGGAACTGAAGGAGTTAGATTTCAGCTTGTTAAACCAGTGCCTTGTAGTCCCCTTAAGGGTTGTTGCAAAGGCTTTGCACATGATCTGGTCTGGGACACTAAGGAGTATCATCAGAGACTTGTAAGTCTCCAAGTGATCAAGTGAGTCTTTTAATCCATCAAAACTTTTGATTGCAGGCATTTTGAATCTCTCTAAGAGAGGATAATTTGACACATCTGGAATGCAAGGCAACTTTGTGTGCTGAACCAATGTTTTATGACCTTTGGGACCCAAGCTTTCACTGTGTTTAAGACTTTACCCAGCTTGTCATTGACCTCTTGGAACTTCCGTTCCCATCGGTTATTGATATGTGGTCGAATAACTTCGTTTTGGCTCTGTTCTTCATTTTCATGATTATCATCTTCATGTTCCTGGATCTGGGATAGGTCTTTCTCTGGTTGTTACTGGGTGGTAAGAAGTTGAAGAATTTGTTGGTTCTAGCAAAACAGTTCCTCCACTGTTCTCTCTAGCTTTTTACTGGTTCTATCGTGATAAAATATACTTCTATCAGTATAACTTCATTTGTACTAGTTCATTGCAGACAGAAGGCGCTATCGTACTGGTACAACCTCATTGTTCTGTTAATGAATCTTAATTGTTTTTTTAGAAATATTTTTCTAAACTTTAAATGTGTTTTGAAAACATAGAATTGAGTAATTAATTGAACCTCACTTAAGCAACACTCCTTTTTGCTCAAAGGGATAAGTTTTGCTTAATTTCTAATTTAAAAACAAATAGGGACCGTCCTATATTTGCTAACTTGCGCTAGATTAGTCTCTGAACACTTCGGGATAAAATCAAAAAATGTTGAACAAGTGGGCAGTGAAGATTGCCCTCTAGGTCACTTTTAGGCCGCTCTAGTAATCTTGAGATGTCTTGAGCAATCATTAGGTCCCTTGAGCGGTCCCTGCTCTTCTGCCTTGATTTGAATTCTTTTTTTCATTCTAGGAGCCACCACTCTCCAACTGCTTGAGTGTTAATTCACGAATTTGTATTTTCTTAGTCCCTAAGACAAACCCTATTCGGACTATAAATAAAGATGTATTTCCCATGCTAGTGTAAGCCTCTAAATATTATTTTTTGCATATCAAAAACTCTTAATATCTCGTGAGCAACCTTAGATCCCTAAATTCAAAAGGCCAAAATCTATCTTGTGATTCGTATCCAGCATCACACATAGAAGAAGAAAAACTTGTTTGATTCTATTAAACTCACTTGAAGAGTGCATACCGAGATTCTTGGGTGCGTCCTAATAGTGCTTGAGACCTAAACGAACTGTGCGACAGGAATTTCAAGTGAAACTATCTACAATATCGGTGGGTGTATCTGGTAGAGAGATCTATTGAAGAAAATGAGCGTTTAACCATGACATTGGTTGAGATATAAAACTCAGTTACTTATAGATTGATTGTGGGATAGTAGATTAAATTTTAGTGAACCTCGAATGGTCCCCCATGATTTTTTCGATGAGGATTTCCGCATTAACAAATCTCTTATATTTTTTATTGCTTTATTTGATACACTTGGAATTTATATCACAAAAGGGAACTATGCGTTTGATGTTATGATTATGTGGATGTTCATATTATCTATAGTAGATTGGTTGTGGGTTGTTGCCTTGGTTGGGATCGCCAAGAATGATCGAGTGTGAATCAGCAAAATTTACATATTCATTACATTAATCATCATGGACTTTATAAGTTGTTTTTATTAAAAGGAGTTTCAAATTATTAATTGATAAATTATTTTTAAAAAGAGCTAATTGTGATAGTTTAGGTTAAAATTTGGTGTTGGTCCAATCGAGATTAAAATTAATATATTCACCCCCTCTGGGTAGTGTCTAATCTTATGTATATAATCGTGAAGAACGATCCATTCCGCTCAAGGATATCTCATTTATCCTTATAAATCTAAAAGAGAATTAATATTATTGTTTTAAAAAAGGGTAAATTTTATTGGCACCTGAAAATGACTTTAATATAAGAACACCCCCTATAATATTTAAAATATCATTGTTACCCCTATCAGATTTTATCTTTAACAGATATAATGCAAAAATGTTAAATGACACTGCTACCCCTAACAATATATTCCTTTCTTTGTCCTATAAGGTTATCACTTAATTTGACCTTAGATTAAATACTTATTTGACCAATATGAAAATAATTTAATCATATTTAAAGTAACGCTTATTTTTTTATATACACATGCATAAGTATACATATTAAATATAACTATAAAAAATATAGATTATATAATATCAATAATAAAATAAGTATTATATATTTTAAGAGTTAACGAATAACCATCCTTATTAATACTTCTTCTTACGCACACCCCAAGTTGTCCTTTAATTCACCAAACTAACTTTCAATTTCATTAAATTAACACTAATTGAAATTTAATTTCATTAAATTGACATTTAATCTCATAAATTCGAATATTAATTTCTTCACACTAACAGTAGCTTCATCAATTTAACATTTAATTTTATCGAAGTAATATTCAATTTCATCAAATTAACATTTAAAATTTTAATTTTGTCAAATTTATGACAAAATAACATTCAATTTCTTTAAATTAAAATTTAGTTTCATCAAATTAACATCAAAATTAACTTCAATTTCATTAAATTAAAATTTACTTTCATCTAATTAACACCTATTTTATCAATTTAATACCATATTAACATTTCATTTTATCACAAATTGACATTCAATTTCATCAATTTTACATTCGATTTTATAAGATTAACATTAATTTTACAACTTAATACCAATTTAATAGTTTGACTTTATCAATTCAATACTGAATTAACATTCAAGAGGTGAAATTTAAGTTGTGGCAAGTAATGTTGAAGGCTAAAATTTTTCTTGACTTATAAATTAGATGACCATGTTTGTGTGTATACATGTACCTCTATGTGTGTGTGTCTTTGTGTGTACATGCACCTGTGTGTGTCTGTGTGTGAGAGAGAGAGAGAGGATTAGTGTGTGACTGTGAGTGTGTGATATGAAGAAGATGAAATTAAAGGATATGGAGGTTGTTTGGTTTTAGGATTAGCTTTGTTTGGGAAAATAATAAGGGTGTTTGGGTTCAAGACTTATATATAATTGAAGGGTGAAATTGTTATTTATGAAAGAATATTGACCGACATCATCACTTTTTGGATATCTCGTAATAGAAATATAAACTATGAGGGATGACAATGATATCTCATAAACTATAGGGGTATACCTATAATTAGGCCATTTTTAGTGAGTGTCATTGAAATTTATCCCAAAAATTAAAATAAATTCTGACCAGCATACGCGGACATCATTCCACCGGACGTTTATGCAACAACCCCAGCAAGAATAGACTCATGAGCAAAAAAATCAAATACGAAAATCCAGAACCACAAACAACCCCCGAGCCCATAGTTACCTACCAACCACTGCAGAAGATATAAATGCTAAAGACACAGAACCCGTGAGTGCCCGGAAAGTCTTCACTGCAGAATCACCGTCCATCCATATTAGGGGCGCAACTCAGACGGATTAGATAATCAACACTAATTCAATTTTAGGTATATAATCTTCAATTTTAACACTGACCCTATCTCGGGTTGGAGAACTCAATCCGAGTACTGCCCGAGTTTAATTCGAGCGGGCTCGGGTTGAATTTGGATTGATAATTTCGAACTGAGCTCAAAATAAGCTTGTTGTTCTAAATTTAATACATATATTACATAATATTTACTTAAATTAACAACCAATAATTTCAACTAAGTTTTTAAAGAGAGAGGCTGAGAGAACGAGAGAGACAGAGAACGATAAAATAAAAATGAAAAATTATTTTTAATACTTTATTTATATATAATCTTTTTTTTTTAATTTATCGAATTCGGGTTGAACTCGGGTTTACGAGATCTTAACCCGAGCCCAATTCAAATTGAATTCAATTTAAAATTTTTTGACCCAAATATTAAAAATTATTGTCCAAATTCTAATTTTTTCGGATTAACCTCGAGTTGTCCGATCCAAGTTACACCATACGCATTTGTACACGGAGAAAGTGTCTATCTTCTTCATTTATTCCAGTGAGGGAGAGAGAGAGAGAGAAAATTAATGGATGTGATGGTGCAGGTACCTTACGATGCAACAGTGAAGTTGATGCTTGCTTCACTGGAGCGTAACTTACTACCCGACGCAGTGATAAGGAGACTCACCCGTCTGCTGTTAGCCAGCCGTCTTCGCTCCGGTTACAAACCCACCTCAGAACTCCAACTCTCTGACCTCCTCCAATTCGTACACTGTATGGATGTTGCTCTCTCTCACAATTTGATGATTGTTTCCGCAAATGGCTATAAATGTGCTGGCTTGTTTGTTTTTTTTTTTTCGGTGTTTGTACCGCTTATTACCATTTTTAGTATCTATATTTTTTTAAGTTAGAGATTACTAATTTTTGGGGTGTCCTCACTCCTCACCCTTTAAAAAAGATTAAATCCGCCAATTATATAATAATAATCGGCGGGGAGCTAAACTGAAGGGAAATCCGAATAATCCAATCCCAATTCACTCGGTATGACTTTGAACATTTTTTCTTTTTTCGTTAACGTGGAACTTCTCCAATGCATGGGTTAGACTCATCCTACGAGGGTAAAATTTAATTACCTATAATCACCTATAAGCCTTAAGTATCAGTGAAGCCTGAAAAACACTAAAGTCGAACCCCTTGCGTTTGAATTTACATTTCATCTAGGTCCAACTCTACACCGTTAGGCTAGTTCGGATTAACTTCAAACCTATAATTGCTCCAAATTGTTTTTATTTTTGGATCCTAGTTGTCCTTAAGTTAGATGCATAAGTGAAACATACCCCTTGGAAGCAAATGTTGCTGAACAAGTGTGTACCCACCGGGAACCGGAGTTTTATCTTGGAAGGGGCCTATTTTCCACAAATTATTGGTAATTGCATATGTTATAGTTGTATAAAACTCATCACAATCAACTTTCATGAAGATTAGTTTTGGTCATAAACTCAGAATTGATTATTTCCTATCCAAATATTCGATAATATATTTAATGTTAGTGCTTGGTTTTTCGGACCAAAACTTTGAAACTCATTTAAATTCAGATCTTCATTTTAAATTTTAATTTAGCACTTGGTTAATATTTGATCTAAATATTTTGCTAAATCAACACTGTCACACTACATCGTTATTCTATTTGGTTAATTTTTTTTGGCTAGTCTAGCAATACTCTTCTGATATAAGCTACATTTTTAACCAAATTTTACAACAATTTCATTTGTTTGGTTTTTAAATGTCAACTCACTAAGTTTTTTTAATAAACCGAGTGAAATACAATATATATGTAAGTTTTTTTTTCTTGAAAAACCTAAGGAGAAGAATGTGGCTTTTCGAAAACCTAAGCGATTTAGGGTTTCTTGAAAATATGAGGGAGGCCATGGCCCCTTAGCCTATACATGGTTCCGAACTTTCAGAATCAAAGAAGAATAATGCGACGAGAAAGTAAGAGAGTTTTGAGAGGAGAAAGAATAGAAATATTTTGGTATATATGTAATGGGATGAAGCACTTCTATTTATAGAGAATGAAGATGTGCAAATACATTTCATGAAGAGATACATTTTGATTAAAATACACTTTTTCATAAAGACACAATTTTATATCAAAACACATATACATGAAAGGATACCTATTCATAAGAAAAGGTGTAAAAAAGCCATCCATCCATTCATTAAAAGGCACTCTTTCATGAAAGGCACACGTTTATTATAACACATGAAGAGTAACAACTATAAACATCCACTTATTTATTTTTTCATGGAAAGTACCCATTCATAACAATATATGAAGGGTCTCAAACTATACACATTATTGAAATGTCTAACATGTATATTGTTGATGTATGTGTTTTGTTTTCCCAAAGTTTGTTGATTACTTGCTCCTGTATTGCAGCTTTAAAGGAAATGCCCATAGCAATCAAGACTGATAAGCCAAAATCTCAACACTATGAATTACCTACGTCTTTCTTCAGGCTCGTTCTCGGAAAGCACCTCAAATACAGGCAAATGTTCTACAATCGATAATTTGTTATCTATCTTTTAAGAAGATCTCCTTTAGATGTAGTGGAGCTGGGATGTGTGTCTAAGCACAAATACATCTCAAATAGTGAGGAGAAGTGGTCTGTTGAAGTTTAATTGATCTTGGACATGAATCATGGATGTCTCTTCTGCATTAGCAAAAGTGTGCAGGCCACAATTTATGCCAGCCAGCAAAAGTAGGATCCACAATATATGGTTTGCACTATTGGATAAATAAATAAAAAGAAGAAAGTACGACCACAATAAAATACCAAGATTTATTAGACAACCTTAGTGAAATGTTTATAATTTAAATTCTAAAAACTTGTCAGCTAATTTCAATGGCACAGAAAAACAAAGGGGAACAGTCAATGACTATTGTATTCTTAGCAATGTATGCTGAAAGTTGTTGAATTCCATTTTCTATGAACTAATCTTGTTGACATGTGAATTGGTGCAGCTGTTGTTACTTCCCAGATAAGTCGAGCACCTTAGAGGATGCTGAGAAGGCAATGTTGGAGATATATTGTGAGAAGTCACAGATAAAAGATGGCCACACTGTCCTTGATGTTGGATGTGGTTGGGGAACCTTGTCCTTATACATTGCACAGAAATATTGTAACTGCAAGATTACAGGGATTTGCAATTCAATGACCCAGAAAGCATATATTGATGAGCAGTGCCGGTATGTTCTTTGAGAATTTAATTGCATGAATTGGACTTAACATTCAGATCTAAATCTACCATTTTCACTTGTAAGTGATATGCTTTATTGGTTTTCCAAAAGCACCATCCTTGCTAATGACATTATTTGCCTAAGCAAAACTCGTAGTTAGTTCACTGCAGCGGTGCCGTTTTTGAGACTTCTGAGATTGCGCTTAGAGTATATTCTTTCATTTTTTAATAAACATTTGAATGGCTAGCACCATAGTTGGTTTGCGTGCGTGTACGTGTGTGTATGTATAGATCATAACTTTTGTAAATGTCTCCTTACACATTTGGGTTGTTTCTATTTTCACCTATTTATGTCCCAAATTTGAATTGATTGAGAGACATTTTTTATGGTCAATTGTACTTGCATTTTATTAGCCTTATAGGTCTTTTATCCTAAAAATGCAGTGAAAAGCTTTTTAAATATATGAACTATTTGGTAGGAGGTTTAGAGACTTGGAAGCAGCATAATGTATGTGGGACAGAAAAAAATCTCTATTTAGTTTGGTAGGAAGAATAACTAAAGGTGAAAGTTGGCCTAATGAAGGAACCGTGAGGAGTGTTGAACCAAAAACAATTATGCAAAATAGTTACTTAAGGGTAAAAACTGAATTTTTGGTCGACTTTGAGCTTAAATTGAAGTGGTACTCGTTCGTTGTTTCGAGTAAGGGTTCGTATTCTACTCCGTGAGGAGAAAAATATAATATATTCATTTACTCAAATCGAGTAAGAAAAAAATGAGAAAATAGGCTCTAAAGTGACTCTCTTGAAATATGAAAATAGAGATTGTGCAATGTGGGATTTGACACCAATTTCACATTGGTTGAGGAAAAGTTCTACATATGTATATATAGGCCAAATTTGCTCTATAAGATTGGCCAATGGGTACTACAATTTTAATCGCGCAGCGAGCAACTACATGCATTCGATTCTACTACATGCGCGCAGCCCAACTGGGCCGGGCTCAAGGACGAGGACGGGTGTAGGTGTGGTTTAAATCAAACCCTATCTTTTTGGAGAAATTGGGTTAGATTTTCTTAATCCAAAATTAATTTTTAGTATCCGTTGGATAGCACTAGTTCGGATTTGTTGCTTCCATCCAGTCCAAAATTGAGTTGTGTCTACTAGGTTGCATCCATTCAGATGGTGACTGTCTGCATCAGTCACCATTCTCTCTATAAATAATTCAATCACATAATCATTTTACATCAAATTCATTCATTTATCAGTCCATATTCAGAGTTAAGCCAGACATTAGTATATTGCATTTCGGCATTAAGGCAGTCTGCATTTGGAGAGTACACAACACAATTTTTAGTTCGCTAAACGAGTAGATTGGAGTGCTACTTCTACTCGTGTAAATATCATTGTATCCTGGGAGGCAGACGCTTAATATTCCATAAGCACCGTATGTGGGGGCGAAATCTGTCTTAAGGACATAGTGTCAAACACTAGCCCTAATCTACCTAAAATTGAATAACAGTTCTTGTTCTGCAACCGGATTAAAATTTATATTGTTTAGATAAACAGTTACTTGTAACTGTATAGTTAATACTACTGTAACTGTTTCGTTTATTTTTCTGTAACTGTTTTAATTTCCTGTGTAACTGTTTCATACTTGATTGTTACTATTTTGTTATACGCTATATGTTTCAACTCAGAAATTTTAATAAGTGATTTTACTATATTTGAAATATCACAAACAACAAGAAGGACAAGGGGGAACACTTGTGATGTACAACCACAATGAACAACAATCCTAGCAAATGTTTATATTCAAAAGCAATTGATGTAGAAAAAGAAAACTAATAGTTTTCTGTTTTGAACATAGTATTTGAATGACCTGAAGAACTTGCTCTTCTTTATCATAGGGATCTTCAGCTGCAGAATTTGGAGATTATTGTTTCAGATATTAGCACATTTGATATGGAAGCATCTTATGACCGAATATTTTCCATTGAAATGTTTGAGGTAAGCAATCGTTGTCAAATGCTATCATAGGGCCTGAAAATTGTCTTTAATAGCACTGAAGTAAGGACTGTTCTGTCCTTTGAAACAGCATATGAAGAACTACAAGGATCTTCTTCAGAAGATATCTAGGTGGATGAAACCAGATAGTCTGCTTTTTGTTCATTATTTCTGCCATAAATCATTTGCTTACCATTTTGAGGTATACACGAGTTTCCTAATTCTTGTTGTGGGTTCCTGTACTATTTGCCACCATAATGAAGTGGTTTACATGTTAATGAAAAAATTTCCTCGCACCCATTTTGAGCAGGATGTCAATGATGATGACTGGATTACTAGGTACTTCTTTACTGGAGGTACAATGGCTTCTGCAAATCTGCTTCTTTATTTTCAGGTGAGCTAGTACAGTTCCACTTGCCACCTTATGACTTCTCCTTTCTCATGGTTTGATATTCCTAGATGACTTTGTTTCCAAATGTCATTTCCTAGTTGACTTTGTTTGATTGATTTGTTTTTTTCCCGGACACTTCCCTGTAACTAATGCCTGGAGGGATTAAAACCCACCCTTTTTGTTGGAATTTGTTTCACAAAAACATAGGAGATCATTGTTCCATAGACCATTTATGCTGGTCGTTGAAACAAATCACGTGTATTGGTCTTGAACTTTCATTAGTCGAACGAGGAATCACATGTCTCTTTCGCAAACTATTAAAGCCACAATCATGCATGTATTTTGTATGTCACTTGTCTAAAGCGATAAAGGGTTTGGAGAAACCGAGGATTAGAACCCACCAGCACATGAAAAAATAACAACGTGATGGTGGCATCTGTGTTGATTCTCAGAGAATTATAATCATACGAGGGTCTATCATATTGACCTTGTAGGCTATCACCAGCTCAGAAGCTTTATGGCGGACATTCCCATTTAGTTAACCATGATATCCTAATTGTGGTTTGAAACTGTTTTCATGCTCTAAGAAGGCAATAAAACATACAGTAATGATGGAAATTATTACAGCAGGAACTAGGCAATTCAAATCAGAAAACTTAACCATGAATTATACCGTGCAATTCATTTATTCATGGTGTTTGTGTGCAGGATGATGTTACTGTGGTCAATCATTGGCTTGTGAATGGGAAGCATTACGCACAGACAAGGTAATGGTGGACTATGATATATAATTACCCTCCAGTGGTGAATATGTGAAGCTATTCTAAGCTAGATTAGGCTTTTGCTTTAGTTTCTATTCGTCGCTGCAAATTGATGGAAGTAAATATTTGCCAAGTTTTTCTGACTGATTGGTCTGATTGAAATGCTGATGGATCTTTTGGTTCTGCATTGCATGAGAATGCTAGTTAGATTCTATGCAAAAGCTAAAAACTAGTAGTCTCTTGCAGTGAAGAATGGCTTAAAAGAATGGACAAGAATTTAAGTTCCATAAAGCCAATAATGGAGTCGACTTATGGAAAGGATTCGGCTGTCAAGTGGACTGTCTATTGGAGAACATTTTTCATAGCAGTTGCAGAACTATTTGGGTACAATAATGGAGAAGAATGGATGGTTGCTCTTTATCTATTCAAGAAGAAATGAAGTCGATCATAAAATTGCAGAAAAGAATGAGTCCTTTTTAACAAGGAAAGATACCATTGTGGTTGTGGTATCAGAGATCTAATTGTTTGAAGAAATTTGGGATGAACAACAACCACATGTCCAGACCTTGTTCCTTGCATCCTGAAATTGAAGGACTCCACTGTCTATTTTTTTGAAGATGTTCACTTGTAAGTTTTTATTGGTGTTCCTGTAGACTTGCACTGCAGATTAATTTTGGAAGCATGATGGCTTCAGGCTGCTTAATAAATGTCAGCACTAATATAAAAAACTGCGAGTTATAACTAGGAAGCATTAATGTTATTGAGATATAATTTAGAAACATAATTTGAAGACTTTCATTGGATTGATAGTGGAGTGCATTCAATGCGGGGACCCACTAACAATCCAATGATCACAATCTAATACAATCATTGAATTAGTTGTAAGTTTGAATATTAGATAAAACCCACTTTCAATTTAAAGATTGTATTGAATCAAGTCTTCTGATTAGGTCCAAATAATATTTTCCACTCCATCAGTAATTATCTGTCAAGTTTAGATGAGCCATTTCAGACAGGGAAATAACATCACCAATCAAGGTGTGGTCCATGTTCCACTGAGGAAAGATTGACCTACACAATGGGGGTCAAGAAACCAGCATTTGATGCCAGGTCCCTGGTACAAGTATCAGCAGATATAACCTGTAAGGCCATAACTAACATGTGTTCTAGTTTACGATGCTCACGTGAGACTGGTTTGTAACTCAAACCCATAATATCTGTCATAATGGAGATCTTATGAATTCTTGGCCTGTCTACCTGTATTCAGTCCTTTTCATCCTAGACTCCTTTGGGCGTACAAATCTTGTCTTGGACAAAAGATTTGGTAAAATTGGCCTCCGACGTCGATGACTATTGTAATGAATCCTACCTTTCTGACATCTACATAAGTAGCAGAAACAGTGTCTAAATCATCTAGCAAAAGGGCTTTCGACGGCACCAAAGGAAAGGTGCAACATCCGTCAGATAACTCTTAACGGTCACAATATGGAAAAGGATGTTTTTTTTCACCATCACTAGATAGTGCGGATTGGATTTTGCAAAGAGTAACAGTTCCCTAAGGAATAAACAGAATTTTCAACATTAAATGCCAAGGAGTTACCAGCGTAAAACCATCATATTAATTCAACACTTTGTCTAATTCCAACCAATAAATGTCTCCAGAATATGACATTCCTAGCAGCAAGTTGTGATCCACCCCTACCACACAAGATTTCAGATCAGTGTATGGACAATAGTTGGGCTAGAGACCAAGATTGCGAGACTTTGCGAAACCATTGAGTGGATTAAGGGCTGAAACAAAAAGAACCGGAATAAGGTAATCATCACAAAGTGGCCCTCATGCCAACAGAAACATGGAGTTGGAACAACCCCAATGGAAAATTAATAAATCTGGTAGATGGTGAGCTCAAAACTTCAGTGATATGGAGGATGCATGAACTGAATGCTCATGAGCCATTCTCAGGAACTTCAGTCCCCATGCTGGGTGATGCTTTCAGCGGCAAACACAATTCCACGATTACCTTTAAGAGCACAGAGGCTATCATAAAGCTATTAAACAAGTGCCAAAACGAGGTCAATCATCATGATAGTCTAATCTAAACTCTATGTGCAAGTTAGATCTTATGGCAGATACATCCCAATGAAATAAGAAAAGGTGATGAAAAATATATGCGGTCCTCTACATGCACGCTGCTTATTAACTGAGTAAAACTCTGTGGAAACTAGTGAAGAACATTAAATGCATCCAAAACTAATGAGACCATGTAACGCTCCAAAACACACATTGGATNTATGGCAGATACATCCCAATGAAATAAGAAAAGGTGATGAAAAATATATGCGGTCCTCTACATGCACGCTGCTTATTAACTGAGTAAAACTCTGTGGAAACTAGTGAAGAATATTAAATGCATCCAAAACTAATGAGACCATGTAACGCCCCAAAACACACCTTGGATGACATTACGTTCTAAAATCATTCATATCATGAGAGCACTAATATAATCTCTTAAGAAACAAGACTTTATTTGTCATCCACGAATATTTACAACATTATTCAAAAGAATAAGCCCAAGTCATGACTATTACATCTCAAAAATTAATTAAGGAAACGCAGCGGAATAAACAAAAGAAGCTAGACTACACAATGTTCCAAAAGAATGTCCTAGTCTAGTACAAAAGGAAAGGAGGTCGCTCTATGCGTCCACCTTGTGATCCACACTCCCGTCCCGTGGAGTCTCCCAAGTAGCGGGCTCCTCGACCCTTACATCCTCCTCCTCATGCGGGTAATTTGAAAAATGTTAGTGATAGGGGGTGAGCACGAAGCTCTGTAGAAACATTCTCCCAAACTCATATAAGGTTTAAAAAAACATTTAAAACGGTCGGTCTCAATTTTAACATAACATAGATACATAATTTGAAATAAATCATTAACATTTAAAAAGGATCTCAAGTTTATTTAAAAACATTACTTAAATGAAAAAATGAGCACCACATTCAAATAATAACCATTAATTGCCATAACAAATTTTCAACAATTCTTTCGATAGGTGGCATACTCTGTGGTAACCTCCACCCCCCTTTTAGGTCACCTTTGATTCTTAAGCATCCTTACCAGGAATCTTTTGAAAATAGATAAACATCCTTACATGGAACCTCTCACCAAAAGAGTGTCTCCTGTGGAGTTGAAGCTACCAAATTCTGTGGAGTCGGTATAAATTTATGCCTAATTGCTAATTGTTCCACATATAGTTCCTCGAACTACATTTTCTAAATGAACCAGAGCCAATCCGAATTGATCTTGTAAAAGATCCGCAAATAGTTTTCGACAACCATCTCAACCAAATGCACCATGGAATAAGCAATGTAAAAAAAAAGAAAAGTTATCAGTGATTTCATCATATTTTAAATATACTAACCTTTCATGTATATTGCAGATAAAAAACGAAACTTATTTAGAAGCACCAGCTGGGCGCCTAAACTGAGCTTGAGTGGTAAAATCAACAATGCATTCGGCTTCTAAGAGTCGACTCAGGTACTTATCATCCATATGTTGCTGATGCAAACGATAAGAACAAAAAATAAAACAAAATCATCAATTAATTAACTTGCGTATAATTTTTCAAACTGGATTGCTTAAAGACATTTTTTTTTTTTAAAAAAGACAGCTTACTGAGAGACATTCTCTGTATTTCTGCCACTCAGAAACGCACTCCTCTTTGTCCCAATGACCCTTCACAAATTTCTCTAAATACCACCTGTTAATAGCATAAAGTTACACACACATGTATATATGTATAGGGAGTGGGGGTTTTTGAAATTCAGAAAGACCCTTTGATTGTACATGGTTTGTGTAATGAACCCATAAAAAGGAAGCAAAAAAGCTTACCTGTTGAAGCAATTATGGTAAGCAGCTCTAAGATGGGCACAAGGTGAGGTCGAAGAAGCAGATTGCCTTCTCTTCTCTTTCTCAGTCCCCATATATGAAGTTACAACCAATGAAGCTGTTTCACACCCATCAAAGATTTTTTTGTACTCCGATCGAGAGATGAACTCACCTTTCTTCTTCAGCAATATCTCTCTCCCTCTCTCACAGACACACAATCAGTATGCTGCGTGAAACGGCGGCAGGTCAATGATCCCAATGGGCTCAGGCAGTGTTACAGAATTTAGTTCAGCCCAAATGCCCAATACCCTAAACCCAGGGGAAATTGCAAGAATATACACAAAATTTGACTTAATTATCAAAGAGAAATGTTATGGTAACCTAATTTACTAACATAAATGTATACAGTTCTTAATGTTATATCATTAAATTCTTATTTTTAGAACTTAATTGTGTCCAAGTACATAACTTGATTTTTGTAATTTTTTTTGACATATTTGTTCTCATAAATATATATTAGTGATAATTTGTGACTGAAGACACAGTGTAATTAAAAAAATTAAAAAAAATTGATCTTGGACACAAAAAAACAAAGCACTAAACATAAAAACACATTAGAGTCAACCAAATCGCTAAATACCTACATCTTTAATATACCCACACTTTACATATATGCTCAACAAAATATTGTCTATATTATTTCTTTCTTTTTTTCTTTATTGATTCACGCCACAAACAAAATGAACTCAAGGTGATAATAAAGCCAAACAACAAACTCAAGCATAAACATAAACCACAAAATTGAACACCACGCTAAATTGCTATACCATTAAATATACAGGAAACTTGACATTTAACAACCAAATCACAAGTCCATTTGGTATATAGCTATCAAGAAGTTGGTGGAAGTAAACAGTATTTAGTTGATTTTAATGTAGTGATGAACCCGTGCTTGAATGTTTTTTCTAATGGGTGATTTTTTTTTTGTTAGCGATGAACCGGTGCCCGAAAACACTGCCTAACCAAAAAAAAAATCACCCATTAGAAAAAACACGCTCAACACAATAAAAAATCAAATTAATCACCATCTATCATGTTATACTTCTAGAAATTTAGAAACTCTAAACAATAACTTTCCCAAACAAACATCTAGGGCGTGTTTAGCTTGCGTTCCGAAAACTGTTTTTTTGTTCTCAAAATTTCAAAAACATTCAAAACTTGTTTGTTTAGCATTTTTGTTCTCCAAATTTTGAAAAATTTTGAGAATTGAGATGTGATTTTAGAGAACAACAAAATGATGTTTTCTAAGTTTTCAATGTAAAATAAAAAACAAGGGAAACAATTCCTCCTCTTTCATGAGGTCCACCCATTAAACTTCTTTAGCAACAAAATGCATTTTTTTTTGTTGAAGTATAAAAGCCCTCACTTGCGTCTTTCTCCATCTCCTCTCTCTCTCTCTCTCTNATGAGGTCCACCCATTAAACTTCTTTAGCAACAAAATGCATTTTTTTTTGTTGAAGTATAAAAGCCCTCACTTGCGTCTTTCTCCATCTCCTCTCTCTCTCTCTGCAACGACTCTGTCTAGATGAAACATAGACCATTTCAAGAACTCCAGCGTCTTCTCCATCCTTTCCAGTGTCTTTTTTTTTTCCCTATATCTGGGTTTAAAACACAAGTGGTGGCTGTGGGGGATGGTTGTGGGTTTCGGTGATGATTGTGGGTTTTGGGTGGTGGTTGTGGGTTTTGGGCAGTTTATGGGTTGGTGGTGGTTGTGGATCAGGTGGTCTTGATGCACAGTGAGTGAAAGAGAGAGAGACAAAGAGTAATGGTCTTGATGCATAGTGAGAGAGAGAGAGAGATAGAGAGTTGAACAAAGGTGGGAATTGTGGATTATCGTCCAAAAAATTTTTATAATTTTTGTTCTTTAAAACTATTTTCAAAAATATATAACCAAACACGTTTTGTAATCTAAAAATTTTTAACAACACTTTTTCTTAAAACTTTTCTCAAAAATAGTTTTCGAATAATGTTTCTTGAGATGCAAATCAAAAAGGCTCCTAATTTCCAAAAAAATTCAACCCAAAACCATGTGGAACATTATATAATGTGCTAAAATTTTAAAAATATTTTTATTTTCACCGGACCACGAACCAAGGGATTCAACATTTGAACACTTTGACCATCAATTAATTCAATCCAAAAAAAAAAAAAGCTTCAATTAATGCATTAATTTTTCGAACTGCAAAAGACTCAAGAACAAAACAATACCAACAAAATATAAAACACCAGCTAGCGTGGGAGCCAAAAATGGCTTATGCCACTTCACTGGTATCATGAAACCCAATGAGCAGGTGGCCTCCACCAAGAGTTCCTTACCTAGTTAAAAACACGGAAAGTTCTAAAATCCTGCAAGAGATCTTCTTCTTATTATTGATTCTTTGAAATATGAAAAGAAAGGAAATCCAGTAGGACGACCTCACCTCATTTGTGGCGAAAATACCTGTTACCATAATTCCTCAACTCCACCACAGATTCTGCCTTAAGGTTTTTAAACTCCATTGTGAAACAAAACAGTAGTAAAAAAATATGAAAGACAAAGTAAAGAATATAAGACAAAATCGGCGCTCAATCAACATCTAAGACCCAAAGAATGACAAAACTATCAAAATTCAATCCCAAAGAGAAGGGAGAACGGATTTTGCTGAAGACATCATAAGCAATTATGGAAACACCTAAAAATGAGTAGTTTGGGTATGGCAGTGTGGATAGGGTAGAAAAAGAGATAAGTATTTACCATTTTAGATTGCCAAAAAAGGCCACTCATAGTAACTTTCTACCGCTAACCAAGATACAACATTTTTTTTATTCTCCAACCTCATTGATGCATCTTAATTTCTCTATCCAAAAAAGCACGAAAAAAAAAAAGTAATCATAAACTCTTACCCAAAAAAATGCGATCTTGAACTAATAAAATCTAACTCACCAAAATTTAAAAATTTTCGAGAACCAAAAATAAAGACGAAGATGAGATCTTTGTAGTGAAAGTGAACCAAAGTCGGTACCTTCAGTGATATTAACACCAAAATGTCTAGTAGACAGAAAAACCACCATGTAGACTATAAATTGATCCTAAAGAATTCAACCAAAAAAATTTTACTAGCAAATATGGTTGACCGATTCATAATGGGAGCATAGTTAGTAAACTCACCAAATGGAAAACATAATTGCAAGACAACAACTTGCAAATAAAATGTCTCGTCCAATAACACAGAAAAACCCAAACACGAAGGCACTACATAATACAGACAAAGCACCACAAACGGACAGCTTATGTAGTTATAAACAAAGATGAAATTCAAACTTTCTTGGAAAATTAGAAAACAAAAATGAAGACATGACCATAATGAAAAGGAAATGACACTACATGTATGATGAACATGTCAAAACAAAGATTTTCCTATATTTGGTATATAAAGCCCCCTTTACCATTACAAATGTACATCCACTCTCACCCAATAGGTAGAGGAAAATAGGGGGGAAAATAAAGAACAATTATGTGATCCAATTGTGTGAATAACTTAGACCTATGAGAAGGGATGGAGAGTCGAAGAGAGAACGAAAAGTGCTGGTGGCATAGGAGGCCCTTTCACCATAACCCAAATTGACATCTACATAGATTTGGTTCACGATTTTGATTTTATGCCACCAAGCATTGACATAAAATCAAAAAACTCTCTCTTGAACTAGGTCTTCCGATAGAGAAGAGAGAGAAATCTAAGAGAGGAGGAGATGTGAATCCATCCATAATTTTGTGAAGCATTGGTGACAAAGGAGATTGTNTCGCCCACCACCTCTCACATCTCACTATAAACTGATGTTTAAATTTTTTTATTTCTTCTTTGTGTTTGTAATTTAATTTTGAATTTGAATACAAATATATTTATTGTATACCATTTTTTATTACTCTGTGCCTTCAGGCACAAACAATAACTAGTTATAAAATATTAGTCATTATCCATGCTGGAGGCATTCTTAATACAAAAATTTATCACGCAAATAGAACATTCAAGAATGTCTTAAATAAAATAAGTGTAAGGATTGAAATGAAAAATTATATCACAATAACACAATCCAAAAATTCCTATGAACTTAAATTAACACAATTACAAAATTATCTTACTATATATTTCTTCATGGTGACTCTTCTTTTCAATAAGTGTTCATTTTTTCAACATCTTGCAATGAATATGTTGTCAAGTTCACATTGAACTATATATCAAATTTCTAAAAAATAGAAAAAAAAATTAATTGAACTAACATTGTTCAGCGAATCTGCTTGTAACTACAAGGACAATTGATTTAAACTATCTATCGTAGTGACTTTTCGGATACTATAAAAATATTCTCATGCTACAATTAAACCAAATTAACAAAATCAAAATTTCACTACTTAAAAAAATTGATATAACTGATTTTTTTTTATCATTTCAGTGTTTATTTTGCACTATTCAAATATTTAAAAAATATGAACATTAGGAAGGGAAAAATGATGCAAAGAAGGAAAAAAAATTGATAGTTGTTTTAGAATATTTTTTTTTGTGCAATTGGTTTCATTTATTTTTTTATTGGTCATTGATATTTTTTTATTGGTAATTAGCTTGACTTTGAATTTTTTAGTTTTTTTGGTGCAATTGATATCACTTTTTATTTTTTTATTAGTGATTAGCTTGGCTTTGATTTTTTTTTTTTTTGGTGCAATTGGTATCACTTGCTATTTTTTTTTTTTTTTTTTTTGTGATTAGCTTGGCTTTGAATTTTTTTTTATTGATGATTAGCTTGGCTTTGAATATCTACAACCTAAGATTTTTTTTTAATAGTTAAATATTTTTTTATCTATATATTCATACAAATGTTTTGAGTAAATAAGTCCAATTAGGATTGTCAAGACAAACAAATAATGCTAAGAGAGAAAGTATGAGATAACATTGCTTGTCTTGACAATCCTAATTAGACTTTCATTTTATCTCATCTATATATATAGAGAGAGAGTATGACAGATGGGGGAGTGTGTTTAAAATGTTTGTGAAAGAGAGAGAGAGAGTTATATATGTATAAGAGTTGGGTGCATGAGATAGAGAGAGAAAGAGAGTTATATTAGAGATGAAAGTCTTACAGTTTTAAAAGGAATGAAAGTCTAATTAGAATCATCGGATCAATAATCTTCAAACGATCTAAGCCGCGAAAAGCTCAAGATAAAGAAATCTAACTATTTTATTATAGAGATAGAGAGAGAGTATGAGAGATGGGAGAGTGTGTGTTTAAAATATTTAAATTTCATCTATATATATATATAGAGAGAGAATGAGAGATGGGAGAGTGTGTATTTAAAATGTCTGTGAGGGAGAGAGAGAGAGAGAGAGTTATATGTGTATGAAGTTAGGTGTATGACATAGAGAGAAAAAGAGAGTTATATTAGAGATGAGAGTCATAGAGTTTTAAAAAGAATACAAGTCTAATTAGAATCGTCAAATCAATAATCCTCAAACGATCTGAGTCGCAAAAAATTCAAGACAAAGAAATCAAACTACTTTATTATATAGATATATATGAGTTCTAATAAAATCAAGACCTAAAATTTAAGAAAATAAACACCTAAAATTTAAGAAAATCAAAATCCATAATAAATCTTCTTCATTTTTTTCAGAATATATTTCAAAATTTTTGAAAATGTTTGAAATTTGACAACTAACATTAAAGAATTTTAATTATCTTATCTTAGAAAGTACAAAAATCAAATAATTTTAATTTTACATCAAATTAATTTGGTGACGTATATATGTGTTGATATATATACAAACACACACACATATAATACTACAAAGTCACACTATGAAATCTAGTTTCTATTACTCCTACACTATTTTGATATACTATATTGATACACTTTAAAGGGTTTACGAAATTAAAGTATATCAATATAGTCCATCAAAATAGTACAGGTGCAATAGAAACTAGGGTTTAAAAATTACACAAATTTAAAGTGTACCAATACAGTGTAGGAATAATGGAGACTAGGTTTCGTAGTGTGAATTCGTAGTATGTATATGTGTGTGTGTGTATATATATATATATTACACACATATATATATGTGACCAAATTAAATCTAAAATCAAAATTCTTTGATTTTAGTACTTTCTAATATAAGATAATTAAAATTCCTTAATTTTAGTTGTCAAATTTCAAAAGTTTCCAAAAGCTTTGAAACATACCCCTAAAAAAGTATAGAGGATTTATTATTAGTTTTGATTTTCCTAAATTTTAGTTTTTTTTTATTAGAACTCCTATATATATTTAGGAAACTTATTTACAATAAAAGGATAGTCAAGTCTTTCTATGTCTTAAGTGGACTTTTTTACAAAATATTTTTTCCTATGTACTTTTTAAAAATTAAGTCCAATTTCGTGTACTGGCTTTCAAAGGTCCCATAAACCTATGATTTCCCGCAGCCCACATAGTAATTAAAAGGGAAAAAGGGAGGCCGATACATAATATTATAACTATTAGGAAAAAGTACCACTTTTGAAAACATCAGTAAAAAGTCTACATATTATAGCTAAAGTCCAAAATATCCCTTTTGAAGTAGAAAGTCTCCTAACCGTCTAAGAAAACCTTCAAAAGGAATGGGAAGAGACAACAAGTTTCGCACGGCCTCACAATTGCCGTCGAAATTTGCAAGATGTGAAGATAAAATATTTGAAATTCGAACGTGGTTCACATACCTTCTCCAAAATCCATTCTCTCAGCATTCACATTACAAANGTCTAAGAAAACCTTCAAAAGGAATGGGAAGAGACAACAAGTTTCGCACGGCCTCATAATTGCCGTCGAAATTTGCAAGATGTGAAGATAAAATATTTGAAATTCAAACGTGGTTCACATACCTTCTCCAAAATCCATTCTCTCAGCATTCACATTACAAAAAATGGAAAGAAATCCATTTTATTATGGGGTTTCACTATGAAGAACTCAAAAAGTCAGTATCCACTGTAAAGAACACACAACATCTATCGTTGGGGAATGAGGGTTACAGTATGAAGAACAAATATAGGCGACATTGTTGCATTTTTTTGGAAACGAGGGTTTCACTATTATAACACACAAAGGCTGGTTTGTTCTTCCATTGTCTTCATCAATTAGGTACACATTGAAATTTTGGGCATATTTGTAGTAGACTTGCAAGACCCTGTATTAAAATTAAAGAAGGATAATATTAATAGATCTCCTAAGGTGAATAAAATGATGGNGTCCCTGTATTAAAATTAAAGAAGGATAATATTAATAGATCTCCTAAGGTGAATAAAATGATGGTAGAAAATTAGAATCATTGTTAAAAAATTGTTTGTGAAGTTTGAGTTTCAAATGTATTGACTTTCGGTGTAAATTGAGTTTTGGAGATGNTGTCTGTGAGGGAGAGAGAGAGAGAGAGTTATATGTGTATGAAGTTAGGTGTATGATATAGAGAGAAAAAGAGAGTTATATTAGAGATGAGAGTCTTAGA